CCAATCCATTCCCAAATTCAAGAAAAAAGTGAAAGAAGTTCTACTTGATCAGCAGCGAAATCTGTTGTAACCCATAAGTGTCCTCATATTTTCCTTATGCCTTTACTTAGATTATACTTTATTCTGTCGTTACTGTATACAGGTATTAATTTTCAATAAATGCTCAGTTTTTTAAAACATCTCGTATTGTTAAGGGGGTTAGAAGATAGAATAGATATTATCTAAATCTCGCCTCCTGTAATAATATTACAAATAAAAGACGTTATTTATTATTAATCATATAGGTTGGTAGACATGCCTCTATAGTCATAGAACACATAAAAACAATAAGTTGTGAACTGGCCAGTTGATTTAGCTATCTTTGTCTGACACGCGGTTTTTGGAGAAAGAAATAGACCAACAGACCGCAATTTTGCATGGCCTTGCTTGTCTTGTAGTCCACGGGTCTGCAATTTCCCAATTTCCAAACCACGGCGTGATAGCTAATCATTTATCGTTTTGCCTTCAACCGCAATCGTAGCTGTCCAACCTCTACAACCCCCACCCCCCCACCCGCTCTCCCCCAGACTACTGAAATATGAAATGGGTTTTTTAAGTTGCGAATCTCGGGGATTTTCGTGCTTGTTCTGGCGGAATTCTGTTTGGTCCATCTGGCAACGTTGAAGAAGTTTGGTCATGTTCAACCCACTCCAAACAACTCTACTATCTTGCCCAAATTGAAAAGTTTAGTAGTAGTCATAATCTTCGTTTGAACCCTTTAAAGACAAATATGTTGTATTATAATGGATGATGACTTAAAATTTGCTGTACACGTAAACTATATAATTTCTCAGTGCTACGCTATTCTCAGTGTTTTATTTGCCAATAAGGCTATATTACATAAATCTGCGAGAAAGCAATTGTGTGAGTCTTTCTTGTTTTCAAAGATATCTTACTGCTTAGTGGTTTACTATCCCTATTTAGATATTATAACAAAAAATCGTATTCAAAGTATCATGAATAACTACATGTTGCAACCTTGTAAATGGTCTCGGAAAGTATGATCATATATCGAATGCCATTAATAAACTCAAATGGATGAAAATTGATAAAATGTACCAGCTATTAAATCTAACTCATAGGGTTCTTTATTCAAAAACGCCGTCATATTTAGTAAATAAATTCATATGTACTATAGATGGAATATGCATGGCATTAATATTAGAGATAGAGATACTTTTTCAATTCCACGCCATAACACATCTCTATTTCAAAATACATATATTTACAATTCGATCAAATCATATAATTCTTTAGACCGCAGTTTAAAAGAAACCAATCCATTCCCAAATTCAAGAAAAAAGTGAAAGAAGTTCTACTTGATCAGCAGCGAAATCTGTTGTAATCCATATGTGGCCTCATATTTTCCTTATGCCTTTACTTAGATTATACTTTATTCTGTCGTTACTGTATACAGGTATTAATTTTCAATAAATGCTCAGTTTTTTAAAACAGCTCGTATTGTTAAATGGGTTAGAAGATAGAATAGATATTATCTAAATCTCGCCTCCTGTAATAATATTACAAATAAAAGACGTTATTTATTATTAATTATAGGTTGGTAGACATGCCTCTATAGTCATAGAACACATAAAAACAATAAGTTGTGAACTGGCCAGTTGATTAGCTATCTTTGTCTGACACGCGGTTTTTGGAGAAAGAAATAGACCAACAGACTGCAATTTTGCATGGCCTTGCTTGTCTTGTAGATCCACGGGTCTGCAATTTCCCAATTTCCAAACCACGACGTGATAGCTAATCGTGTATCGTTTTGCCTTCAACCGCAATCGTAGCTGTACTAAAAATCAAAATCAACTAAGGACATCTCCAGCTCATATCAAAAAGTAGAATATGTTCATCTTGATTTAAGATCGATGGCAGAGCTTCTGGCAGTTAAAATTACGATTTCGTACAAACGCGTCTTTTGAATTGCTTCTGCTAGGAGGCTGGGTAAGGAGTTTTTAGCACCTCATCTCCTTACTGTATAGGTGTATAATGCTCAGATAAATCTTACTTTTTAATAATGCTCCTAGGTGGACTTGATCGAACTCCACCTAGACGAGAGAGAACTGATACCATCGCTGACTTGTTTCCATAAAATGAAGAATGTTTAACAATAACCCAGATAGAGCTTTCCGCATCTTAGGATAAAGTTCATATGAACAACATCGCTATAAGCTCACTAGTCGAAAAACTCCAGCTCCAGCTTTGCTTTTGGTGCTTAGATAGATCCAACCGTTGGCGTAGCTAAAAACGACGCCAAAATCTTACGCGTTTTAAATGCCCACAAGAGGTATTTACATGGGCATTAATTTAACATTACTTTTGCATAAACTTGTCAACAACAACTTAGAAAAATCCCAGTAGGCTTGTAGTCTAGAAGTTAGAGGATTATAACAATTTATTCTATTTCAATGGTGTTAGGTCACCTCTACTTACTCCTCGTCCATACGTCCATACATAATAGATACAAAAAAAACACATTTTCTTCATAAACCACAATAGATAAGGCAATGAAATTATAATTGTGTCAAATCTGTTTATCTCTCGAACGAAACCGCTCAATGTAGGTCATACGGGCAGAAGCCAGCAGAGCAGAGATGGAGGAAAATCAATAACGCATCAGCGGGCGTTCTCGCTTTTCTCTTCTCTCTATTTGGTGCGGTTATGACTCTTGTAGATCTACGACGCATTTAACTATCTGGACGCTTCGGTCTGGTTAACCGTTATTTATTGGTTGTCAAATTGATATTATTTTAATTGAATTTAGAGTATGCAGGCTGTAGGCCTCAACATCAGTATCGGAGCAGCTGTTACGAATGATGATTTCAAACCATTTGATATCCACTTAGTTTAAAAAGCATCTTTTCATCTGTAATTACAAAATCTTTGCAGGTTATAAAAGTTTCTTTGTTACTTCTCCGTACATTAAGGAACACAAAAAATTTCCCCTTTATATAAACAATGGAGGGGTTAGATCTTCAGATTCAGATAATAACAAAAACTCAAGAAAATGCACACAATTCACTACTTCCTATTTCTATCATGCATTAACAGAATTCAATTTTCAAATTACGCACACATACAGAACAGATTCAGAAACTCAAGAATATTTTAAAACTGCACAAAGAATTGTTATGACTACACTCTAGGGAAGACATGAACTTCAAATCAATTTTGAGCTATTAAATATTGTAGCTTATGAAAGACTCAATCATTTTAAGTTTCACATGAAGCTAGAAAAGAGCACAGGGCCATTTTACGTGAAAAAATGTTTACAATGAAAGTACGGTACTGTATTTCAGTGCCTACAAAGTCATAGATCCGATAAATATCGATTATTAACTTATCCATCGTAGGAACCTGTAGAGTTCAAAAAACTTTTCAATGCCATGTGTTGTCTAACGATTCGTTTTCGCAGACATCAGATACGAGTAATAAAAAGTAAATTATGCGAAAAAAATAGCAACTCAGCAGGTATTTGCATTCCTTAGCAGAACTGTCCAAATGATTTCTATTATTCAAACTTTGATTCTACCATGTGAACCAGGTCATATTTGATGTAAACATTAAAGGAAAGGAACAAGAAGAGGTATATATTTGAACATTCGAGTATGTAATAGGTACATAAAATCTGTTACAAATCAAGACATTAGATAAGCGCAGCTTCTACTATCCGTGACCTTTAGGAGATTTGAATCGCAAACTGAACAACCAGGTTGTAAAATTCGTTGGGGTAGTTGTATCAAATAACGCCCAGAACAAAACCTGATTAGCAACATCCTGGGTTAATTCCAGAGTCGGGCCAGAGCATTCGTGAAGTTCGGGTATGTAGGGTGAAGGTCACGCTCATCCCAAATTTTCTACAGTATAGTATAAAGTTTTCTCAATAATCAGAGAATTAACCTTGAAGTGAATGAAGTTGTGGTCCTTAGGGATGCAGGTTCGCACATAGGAGCAACGAAGAGAACAAATATCGGCTGAATCCTAGGCCCAATAATCCACAAGTCTCCAAGACTACTATTTATCATGTTATTGTAGCCTGGGTGGTTATCTGTTTATTTACCTAAGCATTTGGCGCTGTACTTATCGCTTCTTTTCTTATTAGTATCGTTAGTACGATTGGTACCCAGAACCAATACTCTCCAGCTACTTATGTCACGGTCTGATGGAAGGACTCATAAAATGTGTTTTCATTCATTGCATTACTGTTTGTGACATCTAAATATTGATCTACCTCACCGAGAGTTCACAAGTGATAACCACTGTCCTTTATGAAAAAAAGTTCTAAGCTACTGCGTATTTAAGTATACGGTATATAAACCTGAAATAATACTATAACCGTAATCCTTAAACTGATGGATTCGCTTACAAATTTATGTTTTTTGTACCATTTGTATGTAACCTCTGATTAAGCATTGTAACAAAAATCGAGTTAAGCAACTATTTCAAGTTGTTATTCCATAGTTTGATTAAGCGTCAAACGACTAAGGGCCTAGAACATTGATCCCTGTGGTGTAACCGAAACTAGTTGATTTGGTAGAAATAGATATTGTCGAAAGAGTCGCAATAACGTTAATGCATACGAGAAGAGCAGATGAGACAATTAACTAGAGGACAATACGATGATGTACCGGTATTTCATGACAGTATATGACCACGCGTTGCTCAGAATTTATTGTCAAATGGTATTTATTGTTCACCAAACGATAAGAGGCCCAGCACTGATCCTTGTGGATCCCACAAATAAATGTTTATGAATATACGAACAGCTCGGATACTTGCATTCATTTGCCATATAGGTATGTAAAAATGGAAAGATCGATTTATAAAAAAGTGGAACGACTCTATGCAAACGACTGTATGAGGATAGTCTGAAGTAATTCATTGGCGCCAACCACCTGCTAGCTAAATTCCTTATAATAGCATGGAATAGGTAGAAACGCAGTTGAAACACTGACCTTTCGTTGCGCCTCAGCAGCAAATCCACTTTTGGTAGCCCTGTTGGTAGCCATTCTGTTCGCTGGGTGTGTTTTAGAGGATGAAAACGAGTATATAGGAACCACTAACCCTTATTGTTCGTTCGAGAAGCGTACGGAGTAACCGACTAAGGAGAAAACCGGCCAGGCTGAACGAAGAGACGGACACCGTTTGTTATCGTGCGCGGTTGAAGGAGAGTGGAGACAGAGCCGGCATAGGACAGGTCGCCCGGACTATGTCAAGGTGCGGAGTATTGCCCACCAGTGTGGGGGTGAAATTTGGGTACCGGATTCTCTTTGCAAAGTAATAGGTGAAGATCTCGGAACGTATTATATTTTCACTTAAACCACCACGAGAAACTAAGGCCTAAACACCCGTGGGTAACACTCGGGACTCGAACCCACGCAGCTCACGGCGACTAATTGGTAGTTACTTAAAAGACGTTAAATCTAATCGGTCTAATCTTGAAGAAACTAGATTAGATTAAATTTGAGATATATTCCTTTACGAAACTACTTGCCTGTACGTAATGGTTGAAGTTAGGAACTACTAAAAAAACATTAATGAAATTTACATCCAAGACGACCTTTAGCATCCTAAGCAAACGCTTTAACCATCCAGACACGGTAGACTTTTGGCGAGGTAGCCAGTGATGGGCGCATTGTATACACCACATACGTATATAATAGACCATTGCATAGGCGTATACAATGGTGAATATATACGTCTCGATATTCACGTATCCAATGTATAAAATGTATACAATAGCAAATCATAGTTCAACTACTTGCATACAGTGCTGGCCAAAGTCCCTTTCCCTTTTAGATTTCCATGTGTACAACGAAGAGAGAGAGAAGGACTAGCGGGGACCACTTGTGTAGAAAGAGTGCGCCGCACACCAGAACACAACTGTAACTTGCTGCAACGCCTTGTTTTCTACGCTGAAATACACATTTCTGTCGAATCTGTTTGGGATCAATTCCATATCAACTCTAATGGTTCTCCGATTTTAGGTGGAACTGAAAGTTCAGGATAGATACAAATTCTGCAACATTGCATTATTGGTTTGACTGTGGAAGCAGTTTATAAGTAATGATAACATATATAATATTTATTTATATACGTATTCAAAGATATAGTTTTAAATAAATTAAGAACAACTAATCATTGATTTCTTTGTTCTTGGAGCGTCGGCTTACTGTTTATCAACTTTCTGACGCTTGCGAATAAACCTAGCCTCACTTATGCTATTCTATACATTGTCTTCATCATTGTAAACATTGTATTCATTGTATACGCAATGTATACATTGTATTCATTCTATACGCATTGTATACATCGAGACGTAGACAATTAATGTATACGCGTAAACGCCCATCACTGGGTAGCAGTGACAGATTTTGCGTTGGACGCTGAATTTTCATCCACGGTTACGCAGGACATCTTCAAAGTACGAAAGGGGTAAACTAGAGACAAACCACTTGATTGATTGCCTTAATTTTACATGATTTTTCGTAATGACCAGAGCTATGCCTTTGAATAAGCAAATTGTTTCGTAACCCCCCTCAAGTTCCAAAGATTTTCTTCAACCTGATAAATCAGCGGTATGCTGAAAGAAACTTTTCGCAATTACAGGTTGAAAAGATTGAAACTGAAACAAGGAAATTTTGAAAAGTAGTCAGAAGTTGCCGATGTGCCCGAGCAAGTAGCTAAAGGGCATTTCTATACAACAAAAAACCGCTTTATATTTAGAGTTTTTACATTCACATTATTCAATTGCATATTCACCCTGTATAATTTGATTCCTTCTCCTTTATTCATATCTATTCAACAACGCTTAAGTATCATACCGCAGTTTGCGCTACTGGTCCTGACTGCATTGTTATACAGTACAGTATTTGCAGTTTGCAGATGCTGGTATTTGCCCATACTTGCAACGGTGTCACATGCTAATTGCAGCAACATATGTTTCTTCAAATTGTTAAGCCACTGCACTTCCAAAGCCAAAACAAAGGAAGCTTATATTAATCTTCAGTAATTATATTTAATGCTTAAGTGTTTCTACAGCGCCTTATAATAATTTATGGCCAATAATTAGAAGAACATTGGCTCTTAGAATAATATAATATTTCCACTTCACTTCACTACATAAATTATAACCAATAAATAATTAGAAGCACATTGGCCAGTGTTAGTAGCATCATAATTAATAATTACGATAACCACTTGATAGATATTACAAAAGTTACCAAAATGTTCACTTCTTACTTTAAGTAAAAATTCAAACAATATTGCCGGAAAGATTCTCAAACCTCATACTCTTTTTATGTGCCTTGCGTCGACGACTTTACAATAAATAATTTCTGGGCGTAATAAAAACGTTTTCTTATTGATTTACGAAAACATTATTTTATCCAAATATTCAGCATTCAATCAAAAACACCCTGTATAAGACCAGCCAGCTGGAACATAAGCACTGATTCATTGCACTATCAATTTGTCAACAAATTTGAAATATTAAACCAAACTATATAAATCTCAAACTAATCATACATATATTTCACTTCTTATGATGCATTTGGATGGACATCAGTTAATTATTACACCATATCACACACTGATTTTCAAATAAGTATTACATCTGGTGTTATGTACCATAAAAAGCAACCATCTTACGTATCATAATGAAGGCGAAAGTCCTTATATGGATTCGAACGCTTAAAATACACATACGATTGGCCTTAATACAAATATTTGCTGATTGTGCTGTATTTGCGCAAAAAGTTTACTTGAGAACAGGGGCGGCGCTTCTATCTTGTAATGGAAGCTGCGAACTTGAGCGGCCTTTGAACTGGCTAGTAGATGCGCAATGCAGCTGAGGTAGCGCTTAAGTCGTGCACAGGATTGACTATCATATACATAGATCGTACAGATTGACTAGTTAGTCTTACCTTCCACCTCAATGACCCAATAAAGGTCCGAATAAACGTCCGATAGATTTTCGTATCGGACTTTAGCAAGGTATTTAATTAGAACGCTTTTATGTATTCCTTGAAGTTGTCAGTTGAAAATACTCCCTATCTTCCTTAGGGCAACCACAGTAGTGTACATTTAGGCTTCGACTTCGTGTTTGAATAAAAAGTTGATTTTTGTCGTCAAGAGTAAATGGATTAAGTATTATTTGTAAGGTAGAAACTACAACTCTGAAGGCACCCAAGAAATTAAAAATATCAGACAGGTAATTTTAACCATTAATTATATCAGACATAACAGGTGCGATCATCACCTGTCTTCATTCGTACTGGCTACCTAATAAAAGTCTTTCTAGTAAGCCAAAATTCTCTTATCATTAATTGATGTATTTCCTTAATGTTTGTGCAGTTCTGCCAATTAATTATTGTATTGTATTGTAATTACTATTACGTGTAATTTAATTGTTACCTTATATATCTAAACTTTATTTTACCTATTTCTTTTACACCGCGGCTGCTATGAGGATCACAAAGACATTTTGTTGATACGATTTTTCAACTGCCAGAGGTTAGTAGAACTAGGAAAAGTCTCCTCTTGTAGATTTTTTCACAATCTCGACACCCACGGGACAAAGGAGCTTTCGCATCGGCCAGTCCTGGATGTACGAGGTTCAACACAGTTCTGTCTGGCAGACACATCGCGACGCGCCATCATGGGAAAGAGCTCTGAGAAGCAAAGCCCGTTGGTGTAGCGGTAGAAGGTAACTAGATCGCCGACGTTCCGCTGGTGCGAAAGGGTCCCGATGCTGTCTGTTAGAGAAGAGTCATTGATTAGTGGGACAGCCCTCCTCTAGACAGCATTGAGCATGAATAATGTAGTCGGGGCGGTAGCACCCCAAACGTGTGAGCAATACTCTAGGCTAGATCTTACCTAGGACTTGAATAGAGTGAGAAGATCATGCGGAGAAAAGTACTTCTTAGCCCTAAACAAATAGCCTAAATTTTTCCCAGCAGCCTCCGCTGATGAGATGTGTTCGTGCCAGATCGGTGATCTGGACTCCGACCAGCCTAAATGAACGGCTCTTTGGTAGAACTCGGTCATCCATCGAAACCGCATGAGCGCTAGGACGCGTTTTGTTCGTCAAGGTACAGTAACGAGTTTTTTCGAGTTACTAAGACAATTAAAACGTTATTAGTGTCTACTCTTTCATCGTAATAACGTAGAATACAAATATTGAAACGAATTAAAATACCTGTATGTTGCAAACGAAAATACGCGAATAATCAAGTTGTAGGAAATACGAACAATAAATAGATGCGGACTTGGTAACCATCTTTTTAGCGTGGTACCCAATCTAGCTCGTTATGCCAGGCTCTCTCCCTTGCGTCTCTCTAGCCACCTGTCATAACATAAATGAAGCAAATGTGACGCATCGAAATATCCTGACCGTAATTTTTAATATACTAAGTAACATATAAATCCGAACACCCAGTTTAAATGGTTTTATTTTAATAAAAGTTGGTGAATGTATTTATCTTACTGTAAATAACAAGTGAAAAAATGTTCAGCCTTATCAGTTGGACATTCCGGTTTTTATACTGCTTTTTTTTAATTCACTAACGCTCTAAAAATGAATATTTCAGCTGCAGTAAAGAATCAACGTTGGCGGATTTTGGTTCTTGACATCCTTTACGATCGGTTACGATGCCTAGAGTACGGAGACCTGTACGATTTCGTCAACTTAGTGAGTTTGATAGGGGCCGTATAGTGGGCTTCGGGAAGCTGGACTTTCTTTTCGGGCAATTGCAGTTAGAGTGCAAAGAAGTGTAGACACTGTGGTTAGGTGTTGTCAGACATGGCTTCGAGAAGGCCGTACGCAAAGAGCAAGGGGCACTGGACGCCGCCGTAGAACAACAGACCGTGAAGATCGCCGCCTAAGATTATTGGCCTTAAGGGACCGTTTCTCCACTACCACGTCCATTGCAAATGAATGGTTTGCAGAAAACGGAAGACCTATTGGCATGCGAAGTGTTTACCGACGAATGAGAAGTTTTGGCTTGTTTTCATACCGGCCACACTGGGTCCTAACTTTAACTCGAGAACACCGACGTAATCGCCTTGAGTGGTGCAGACAACGGTCACTCTGGGATCAGGAATGGAACAGTATTGTCTTTAGTGACGAGTCTCGATTTTGTTTAGGCATGCACGATGGTCGTGACATGGTTAGAAGGCGACGTGATGAAAGGAGAAATTCACAGTTTTTTG